GTGTGCGCGCGTGTGCGTGCTTTTTTTTTTCTTTTTTTTTTTATTCATTCTTTCCTAACTTTTTAGATTTTTTCCGAGTCCGACGTTGTTTCGTGTTGTTTTTCGGTCTCTACCAGGCATGGAGAATGCCCCATTTAAAAAAAAAAACAAAAAAACAAAAAGATTAATTTATTTTCGTACGATGTCTGGTTGCCTTGTCCGGGGGCTGCTGCTTGCTGGCGCTCTCTTTCCCCCTCTCCCTCTCTCCCCCCCCACCCCACAGCTGACAGTGCAGTCCTCGTGTCCCTCCGGAATTTCTCAGTATTATTTGGACACTTGGATTCTCACGTCCCTGTCACTGTTGCGAGAGTGATGCATAGCGAGAATTTATCATTATTATATTAATATTATTATGATTATAGCTGTAGGCTTTAACTTTGATGGACACACATTTGGCATCCCCAGGTGTGCTGCGTTTTCACTTCCTGTGCAGCACATGCCAAGGGCCGGAACTGACGACATGGAGATCCCCAACTGTCCTGACCCCGCCCCTGCCCCCATTGCCCCGCCCCCATGGCCCCACCCCCATGGCCCCACCCCAGTGCCTGAAGTTGCCAAATTGCTGTTCAGCTGAAGGATGTTTTTTTGTTTTGTTTTTAATTATTATTTTTATTTGTTTCTGATTTAAATTATGTTCCATGTAGGATAGAATTGAAGGAGTCTCGCATTTTTCAAGTGTCTCAAGGCTTTTTTGTTCGAATGGCCACACCATGCAGTATATAAAACCCCCTAAGACACTAAGAATTTATGAAATTTATTTAAATAGTTTAGTTTCCAGGCTGCTGTCAAACATAATGTAAAGCAGTGCTGTATTTTCATTCACACTATGTATGAAAGTCTACACAACTCGTAATAAACACACGAGCTGTCTTTTATCATTCTTGTCAAGCGTGGTGGGATTCCTCCGTGATGGTGGCAGGGGACGAGGCCCGTCTGGTCTCGTAATTCGTGCTGGTCTGACTCCAGTAGAGCCTGTGTGCTGCTTCCTGCTCGGGGCCTTTTTCTGTGCAGTGTTCATGTTGCCCCCTAATAAAGATTTCAGATAAATATACTCCTAATATAAGTGTAAATAAATCAAAGGAGACATTACATCTTGCTTTTAGTTTGTGTACTTGTGCGGACTCGGGCAGATTCGACAGCACTCGTTTCGATATGAATGGATGTGGTTATTGTTTCTGAAGCATGAGTGAGAGGCTCTGTGTGCCTGGTGACCTTAGGTGCCCTTTATGCTGCGTGTATCGCAGGTTGTAGGTGCTGCATCTTAAAAAATGTGGGCATGCCCCACGGGACGTCTCCTCCGGGCTCCCGAGGACCCACATGGGCATGCCCCACGGAACGTCTCCTCCGGACTCCCGAGGACCCACATGGGCATGCCCCACGGGACGTCTCCTCCGGGCTCCCGAGGACCCACATGGGCATGCCCCACGGAACGTCTCCTCCGGACTCCGGCATGCCTCGTAGGACATTTCTCCCAGGCTCCCAAGGACGACATGGGCATGTCCCGCAGCGAGGATGACATGGGCATGTCCCGCAGCGAGGATGACGTGGGCATGTCCCGCAGCGAGGATGACGTGGGCATGTCCCGCAGCGAGGATGACGTGGGCATGCCCCATGGGACGTCTCCTCCGGGCTCCAGGGTGACAACTTGGGCCCTGTCCCTTTATGCATTTTGGGGGGGTATGTCTGTGTTTCTACAGCATGCACAGAGTAAATAACATTCTAAATGACAGATAAACTCTAAATCATGCATTTGATCCAGTAGGTCCTCTTTTTGGGTGGCTGGTTTATTGAATGAATCAGATCATTCTGGCTTTACTGTTTCCTACCAAAGTGTCAGTGTCTTTATCTGTGTTACTTATATTTAAACTGAGTTTCACTGAGACTGCCCCCCCCCTCCCGGTGCATTTAAGCCCTGGAACTGTGTGGGGGTTTTCTGCATTTAGTGAGGTAGTGGGATAGGACTTGGGAGCAGATGAGTATCATGGTATTTGAGGGACTCGAGGAGACGCTGAGCCAGACACTCGCTGGAGTGTTTCATTCCGAGCGTACAGGGGACCGGGGGGATGGGGGAAACAGCTGAGTTTGGGCCGCCTGCAGTTCCCGTTCATAAACAGCAGGAAATGGAAATTGAAAGAAAGCCAGCCCCTCCCTCACACACGAGGTTCACTGTCTGTCTGTATGTGTGTCTGCGCACATGTCTACATATGTCTGTCTGTCTAAGTGTGTGTTTGTGTTTGCATAGATCACATTTGGGGACCAAAATGTCCCCAAAGTGCGGTAAAACCTGAAACATCCTTACTTTTGGGGACACTTCTTCAGGTCCCCATTTGTATAACCTCAATTTTATAAAAATCTGTGAATGCAATCAAAAAAGTAAAAGTGCCAAAAGTTTTGTATTTCAATTGGTTACTTATGGTTAAGGTTAGGAATGGGTAGGGGTTAAGGGTGTCGTGATTGGGATTTGGGTTTTTCCCATAGAAATAAATGGAAGGTCCCCATTTAGATAGGTACACCAACATATGTGTGTATGTGTGTGTCTGTCCGTTCATCAGTCTGTATGTGTGAGTGTGTCTGTGTGTATGTGTGTGTCTGTCCTTTCATCAGTCAGTCAGTCTGTATGTGTGAGTGTGCGTGTCTGAGTCTGTGTGTGTGTGTGTGTGTCTGTCTTCCTGAGTGTGTGTGCGTGTCTGTCCGTTCATCAGTCTGTATGTGTGAGTGTGCGTGTATGTGTGTGTCTGTCCGTTCATCAGTCTGTCTGTGTGTGTGTGTGTGTGTGTGTGTGTGTGTGTGTGTGTGTCTACGCACACGTGGTTCCCCATTCTGCTCACAGGTGTGCAGAATCGGTCTCCCTGCAGATCTGCTGGGCTGGCCGGAGTGTGTTTCTTATATGTGCAGTGCTGCCTCTCAGCCTTCACTCCTCTTAATAGATGCTGTTAAATGAAGGATGATCTGTTAGTAGGCTGTAAAAAGTCCCTCTGCCTCACCACCTGCCAGATTTACACCAAGGGGCTGTGCTGCCCGCAGGCACTACACCGTCACGCACCGTTTTAAGGTCCAGAGGTTTCTGGTTCTTCTGCCGCTAATAGCCGTGCTCTTTTACCTTTGATTAGAGTGCGGGTTTGTGGGTAAAAGTCTTTTGTACGTCAGCTGAGCATCTGAACATAAACAGCATGAAGGTTTTTACAGAGATGAGCTGCTAGTTTGAAGATTGTAGCGTATGTATCGTGTGATTTTTAGATGCGGGTCAGGCGAAGTCGTTTTGGCTGTGAAGGCACTGCTGAATAGTCAGGTGCTGCATTTTGTTTTCATTAATATTTAGGTCCCACATGTGCAGCAGATTGCTTGCCCTGAAGGATGGAGGAGAGGGAGGGGGCACATGAAGCTTCTGCTGGCCTTCCCTGGATGTGCAGCATGTGAGAGAGAGCTGAGTGAGACTCGGGCACCGAAAGGGCGCTTTATGGCCGCTAATGGCCGAGTGGGTTTGCCACAGGAAAGGCTGCATGACTGCTGCTGCTGGTTAGTGTCGGTACGGTGAGGCCAGCCAATCAGGTTACGGAGGATGCCAGGTCCCTGCAGCCCTGCGGCGGTGCCAAGCCCCAAGGTGGGAGTCCAGGTAACAGGCAGCCGCTGTGATTGTGGGACATTGGCCCGAGGGTTCCCGCTCCTGGCCCCGGTTCTGTGTCCTCCTCAGTCCCTTGTGTTTTACCTGAGTCTCTGCGAGCTGCGATAAGTGTCAGACATGGGCCACGTGCAGATCAGATCCTTCACCTGCGGTAAGATGACCCCACCCGTGCCGTGTATCCGATACGGAGGGGGTGGGGGGGACTTTAGCTCACAGTTTCACCTGGTTTATTTAACATGTGCGCCAAGGCTGACCGGAGAGGAGCTTGAATGAAATATAGTGAGGCTTTCCCCCCCCCTCCCCCAGACGGCTGTGTGTGCCGGCACCTCTCCCCAGGCAAGGGCAGGGGCGGGTTGGGGGGTGTTCAGGGTGTTTTTTTTCCCTTTCCACCATGCATGCATCACTAACTGCAGAAGTGGCCCCCAGGCAGGCGGGTGGCTCCATACATCCCGCTCTCTCCAGGCCTTCGCCGGCTTTTATTTCAGTAAAATAAGCATCTGTATGGAAGAGCTGCAGGTGGATGCGGCGGTGGGCGTGTGGAGTCCAGCGGAGCGTGTCGGCTGAGGGCACCACGCGCTGCCCCTCGCGGCCCGGCCCGCATGGGCCCCGTTCGGCAGCCGGATCCGGTTTCCTGTGCCATTTGGATTTGGCCGAAGGGCAGGCGAAAGCGGGAAGCCGGTATGCGGTTTAAGGTGCACGCGGGCTTTTCGCAATGCCTGCCGCACTTCAAACGCTCAGGGTGGGAGCACAGGGTGCTCATATTCCACTGTTTTTATTATAGGGCTTTTCTGTAATCTCAGTGTTAAAGAGAAACTCCAAAGGCAGTGTGATCATTCACTTATTTTATTATGCCGAATGTGATTTTGTGTTTTCCAAAGATAATTGACTGTGAATTTGGGGGAATGTTAACATTTTAATACGATGTCCGTCGGTGGCATTTCTGAGACTGACGTTGCTGTGCAGCTGGAGTTGATGTGCTAGCGAGTGTGCAGTTTTAAAGGGACATTGAAGCAGAAAGGCTGGGGTCTGCTTCAAACCCTAATCCCCCCCGAAGGACCCGCGGCTGCTCTGCGTAGGGGTGGGGGTTCAGGAGTGCCCCCTGTTACGCTCCTCATTTTCTTGGTACTGATTAGGTTTCATAGCGGCCTAGTCGGGGCTCAGTTGTCAGCCTGTTTTCCACGCCTGCCGGAATGATACCCCCGCCACTGTGCCCCCCCCCCCCCGGCCGGCACAGTAAATAACTGACCATTTTAGAAAGTGTGTGAAGCCCCAGGCAGTCGGATATGGGTGGTCCCTGTACGAAGCGGACCCTCAGGTTTGACTGCTGGAGGAAAAGCCATGTGGCAGAGGGATGCCGAGGAAGGGCGCCCCCTGTGGGAGGGTTGGGCAGTGGCTTTGGGCTTGGCGCCATGGTAACACAGTACTATACAGGACCACAGCTCTTAAAGGTACTCGGAAAGCAGAGTTGCCGTCACCGTGGCTCCGGCAAATGCGCTGGCTGGAAACAGGCTCCTGGACCATTTACCGAACCGTGAGCTGGACAGCGCCGTCGCCGTGGTTACCTGCATCACCCCCGAGCCTGCACAGCCTCAGCCGGAGAGCGTTTCGATTCTTCCTGACAGCTGTGGGGTTATATAATACATTATAATAATATAATATATAATTATATATATAAATTCTTCATAAAAACAGGGAGGATGGAGGCCCGCGTCAAACGACCGCACTCTGGGATGCCAGGTCAAAGGAGGTGATGTCACCACGACAGGCACACGCAGAAGGCCGGACATGGGCTGGACTTCAAGCTCTGCTGTCCAGGTTCAAAGGCCGTGTGGCCGTCTTAGAAAGGTGCCCACCCCCCCGTTAGCTAAACCTTATGTGCGAGTGAGCGCTTTTGGTGCTGGGAGGGGGCTGCTTTGCTGTTGGCAGTCCCTCAGGCTGGCAGATCGCTCGCTAAGCGGATGACCCGCCTCTGAGCGGAGCACATGTTAAACCGCTATGCTCATCAAAACAAGTCGTGGTTTGAAATGCTCGGCGAATGCAGTAAATTCCTGATGTCGGCCTCAGAAAAGCACATTTTATGCACCGCGAGGATGTTGATTCAGAATGGGGGAGGTGTTGGCAGTAAATTTACAGCCAGTCGCAGAGCTGCCATTAAGTGGGGGGGCTCCAATTCATTAGGTGGAATAAAAACAAGATTTCTGAGCGGGGAGAGAACTCCAGAGGCCAAAGAGAAACAGACGCAAGGTCGGGCCGGGCCGGGCGGGGCGCTGCGCTGCGCTGCGCTGCGCAGAACCGGAGAGCCTCCCGGGGGTTCGGCTGGCTCATAGAACTCCCCAGCTTCATTCCCCCTTCTTCCTATGGTTCTCCACGATCTAGTGCCACTCCTTCGTGTCCCTTCTGCACTCTGTCCCCGAACCGGTTCCAGCACAGCCCAAAAGCCCCTCATGCCCAGTGTCCCTTAGTGTGACCAGCACCCAGTTCTGTGAGCAAATCAGCAATTTTCCCAGCAGGACTTGCTGGTCAGGTGGCGGAATTCTAGGCCTGGAGAAATCCCCCTCACCGGGGGGGCCAGGCCCCTGTGTCCCGCAGGGAGCCTCGACCACCCAGACACCGCTCTCTGGACCCCCAGGGACCACATGGGACCCCCGGGACCACACCGCACACCGGAGTGTATTCTGAGTGGGGGTCGCATAGGGTCACCGTTAATGTGTGTCTGGGGGTAACTGTCAGACATGGCTTAAATTCTTCCAGTGCCAAGTCCCACCACAGGGTTGGAGGTTAAGGCATGACAGCAGAGACTGTGTCATCACAGAAGGTCCTCTAGACTGTTACACTGGCCCCCGCTCCGCTGAGACACACTTGACCTGTGGATTACAGATAACGTGACAGCAGAAGCTTCCACAAGGAGGCATTTCAGCCTTTACAGTAGAGTGAACATATGTCCTCTTTTTCGAGGACTTGTCCTCTTATTTGGGAGTTAAAAATGTCCAGGATTGGGCTTTGTTTCATGCTGACATTTTGGTTTCTACAGTCAGAATACTTCCTATGTGCATATTTGCGTTGCTGTGATGCCTCTCTTTGTGTCCTGCCCCCAGCGTCCTCTTATTTGCAAAGCAAACGATGCCCCCCTCCCTTAAAGGCCTGCGTTGGTGTTAGCAGCGCAGCAGTCCCCGCACTCTCTTCCCATGTGATGTGAGCCTATCCTAGATGTAAAGCCTACAGTCCTGTCTGAGAGCAGCTTCACAGACTTTCTGCAATCCTCATACGCCACATGCAGTCTGTCGGCTCTGAGATGGGCTCGTTTTCTCATTGACCCACTGACGGGGCGGCGAGCGACTGTGGGAGCATCTGAGCAGCCCGATCTCCAAGCCCTGATCATCCCGCGCAGCCCGTAGAAATGTAGTGCCTTGTTTTTCCAGCTGAGCCGTCTGACAGAGCTGCCAGACCTCTGAGTGTTTTCTAATGAAATCTCTTCGCTCGTTGATTACATCCATGCGTGTCGCCCCCCCCAAAGGATAGAACTGATTTCTCTAGGGACAAAACTTCTCTTCCTCCCAGAAACTGTATATTCCCAGTAAATGTATTCCCAGTTACTGGCTGGAATTAACATTGCAATGAGTAAAGCTGGATTGTAAAGAGAAAATGGTTTGTGGTCAATAAGGACACAGGCTGGATTTCCACCATTTACGTTGCTAATCTGTTCCTGAAAAACCATCACGCTTCAAAAACCTACTTCAATTATTGGCAATTGGAAACATTATAATGTGTTTCCAGTCCAATATTACGAGAATAATAGTAACAAAGAATAATAGTAACAATAATAGAAAATGACAAATAAAATAAAGATCAATGAAATGAGCGAAGACGGAACATGCTGTGACAATGAATCAGACAGTCACATAAGCAGTGGGCTCATCTCACGCTTGTCTCATACGGACACGCAGCACGGCATCAACCAACACATGGTTTGCTTTTCAGATTTGCCATGTCATACTTTGGGTTTTTAGTATAGTTTTTGATTAGAAAATGTTTTGTTAAGGAAATCCATTAATAAATATCCGGTATCAAGCGCAATGCGAATCTGCATAAGCCGAGAGGTTTCTATGCTTCTGTGAACATCAGCGCATGGCACATCTGGCTGGCTGGATCTCATAAAAATGCTTTAGTGCTGCTTGTCAGTGGGGGGGGGGGTTGCCATGCAGAACTCCAGTGTCCCCTGGACAGCAGCATCTCTGAGAATATTGGGGGAAGTTTTCATGATTCCCTCCAACTTCTATAGAAGGCAACTGTATGGTAACTGGAAGGTTCTTTATAGATCAGATGGGCCAGTAAGAAAGAGGAGGTTCCCTTAAGATGGGCCAACTGGACCTGCGACCACTGCTGCGGTCAGCCGGAGAGAGTCACCACAGCACAGGGGACACACCTACACGGCAGCAGGGAGTCTGAACTAGCAGCGAGTCGGCACAGCCCCGGACTCGGCGGCGAGTCGGCACAGCACCGGTGACAGTCCCTTGAGTATCGTGGGGGTTGAAGTTCGGAAGCGATGTTGCGGATCCTGGAGTGGGGGCTGGACTCCCATCTCATCCCACACCAACAGCTCACTCGTAGGATATGTTGGATTGTTCTCTACGCTCTGTAATGAAGATGAACAGGCCTACGACTGACAGTTAGATATAGGACTTTGATGCGTGGCCATGAGGATGTTATCGTCACACATCTTGGGCTAACGAGAGCCCAGCATTGCTGGGTTGGAAGTGGAAGGTGAATTCTGAAATCAGCCACGGCTCTCGTTCGTTGGTGAAGGCAGGCCCAGGCAGCCAACAGAAAAATTAAACAAGCTGCCATTAAATTGCCGTGTGGTTTGTGCTTAAGTGCTGGATCATGTCAGAAATATGGAATCTGCCGTTTCCTCTGTTTGTTAGCTAATTGCAGATTTCCCAACAGCTGTGAGCAAAGCGTGTGTGTGTTGTGTAAACAGCCAGACGTGCTCGTGCTGCGTCAAGCCACCTGAGGGTTGGGTTAGCACCTGACGTGCGGAGGCATCAGCCAGCGCAGGGAGACCCCAGGCCTGACCAATGACCACCTTTCAGTCCATTTGTGTGTAGGGGCAAAACCACACTGCAATATATTGAGGGGGTGATCAGAAGGCTTTTGGGTCAAATCCCAGGGTCAGCGGAGTGATGTCACCACTGGGCCCCTGAGCAAGGCCCCTAACCCCCAATCTGATCCTGCTTTCTCAACAGTGTGTCGCTTTGGATAAAAGCATTGTCTAAATACTGCACAGTTGTTTAAAGCTTTATTACCTGAAACAAATCGTCTGGGTAGATGGTTGGAAGAAATGTGAAAAATTCCGCACTGGTTAAGTTTGTGAAAGACCAAAATATGCAAACAGTTATTTCAGTTTAAAAATTGCCATGCAACAGGCCATTCATAAATCTTTGTTTTTTTAAAAGGGGGCGTGTCTCGTGATGCCGTACTACCGTTTAATCTCCATGTTAAATAGTTCTGTTTGCTGTAAATAGCGATGATTTATTGTTTGCTAGACGTGCAGCTCTGAAATGCGCCGCGCGCCGGAGCGGAGAGGAGAAGAGCCGCCGTCATGTTCACACCTCCCGCTGTTTTTCTTTCCTTCCCCGTTGCTGTAAATTCCCAGGTCTGGCTCCGGCTGGACTGTCACTCAAGATGAGCCATAAAGGCGGTAAGGGTCGCGGCGCTCCGCCTCTTCGAGGGCTCCGTCTCCCGTTCTGGTCCGGTCCGGTCCCGCTCCCGATTTGCCATCGCACCCTGTATAAATAGTAAGAGCGGAGTCCCAGAAACCGCCCATAGAGTCATTTCTGTGCCAATAAATGTTGGTTAATTAAAGACACAAGCCTGTGCAAACACATTAGGAAAAATAGTGACACGACGCTTAGCCGTGTTTTTATTAATGGCTTTTTACTGTCCTTATTACTGAAGGCTGAACTTTATTACCGTGCCACGGTCACCTGGACACCGGACGCCAGGTTTGTCATGCGAGTCATGTGACAAAGTCTGGAATCCGACACCAGGGGGGTTAAAAAATGAGAGGAAATCCGTATCTGTCTTTGAAGGTTGAATTCGGTAAAAAAAGGAAAAAGAAATCGCGACTATCGAGGAGGAGAAAGTTTCCAGGGCGATCCACGGCGTCGGCACAGCCCCTGACAGCACGCCTGCTCCGGCCACACGCATCCCGGCGCGCCGTATCGCTTGCAGCCCGGGAGCCCGCAGCGGCTCCGAGCCGTGATTGTGTCGGCTGTGCGGGCGCTGCGTGGGACGGAGCCCCTCTCCGTAACACTCCCCGGTGCGCTTTAACTCGGGAGACACTTCTGCTTTTCCTAAATTTACCCGACCGCTGAAACAACAATAAGGTAAGCACGGTTAGCAGTTCATCTGTTTTTACTTTTTTGTGCCTTTGTTTTTATTTATTTTTAAACATGTCCAGTGATTTAACTGAATTCTATTATATAGGCTACATACAGGATTTACAAATATTGTGCGTTAAACTGCTATACTGCTATATTCATTGCTGTTGATCATATTATAGAAAAAACAGCGCGGCGATTTTAAATTGACACAGTAGGAAACGACAATTAAGTTTTCTACACGGCACTTAAGAAAGGCCGTATATAAATTCCCACTTCGTTCATGGTTGGAATATAAATATAGTTTAAATCGCTCATTTATTAATGGGCTGAGAGAAGGTTTTGAATTATTAACATTCATATTTGATCAAAAACATTCAAAGTATGCTAATACGTCCGTCATCGGTGCAATAAAATTCCGTATGAGTGCAATAATAATCCAACACACACACACACACACACACTGGTATTATTTAAAGCCAGTTTCATCATGCTTGTTACTAAATCACAGGACAATTTTAGCAAAGCTTTTTTAAGCCACCTTAAATGTATTTCTTAAATTAAATATGAAATGTCCTCCAGCCGCTTGACCGGTGAAAAGTTTAAATCCATGAAATCTCATACTCGCCAAGACTCTCCCAGGTACCGAGTAAGTGCATGTGCCCGCATATGGATAACACACATCATTTTATTACAGTAACGTTTTAAGGGCAATTTATGTTTCAGGGCAAAAATTTCAGGTTCGTTTAAATGGAAAGTAAAATGGTATAATTTTAATGGTCACCGACAGATCCGATTGTGGGACTGATGCGTCCCCCGACTGCGTCTATTCGCAGGTTCGCGTACAAAAAAAGCGCAAAAGAAAACAGAAGAGAAGTTTTGTAAGAAAAGGGGAAAGAGAAAGGCTTGGCCGCGGAGGGAGGGAGGCGCTTTCAGATCTTTCCTGAAACCTTTGAAGACTTTTTGTTGCTGAGGAAGACGGACGCTGCGGAGAAGCGAGACGCATGCGAGTTGGATTTACACGGCCGAGACATGCTTCGCTGCCCAGGAGGATCGCTGGGGAGGCCGGCTGCTGAGCGGCCCGGATCGCTTCTGGACCGGACCGGACCGCCTGCGGAGAGGGGTACGCGCTGGCTTCTCCGGCCGCCGTTTTCTTTAAAAATGATTAGTAGTGTTATTATGGACGTATAGTGCCATGAAAGGCGTTCTGGAAACACGGAGACTTTGGGTACATTATGTCATGTTAGCAGATGTGAGCTGGAGTGTTTATCATGAAACGCGCCTGTATGTAACGCGGGGCTGGTTTCCGAAGAGGGCGACAGAGCACCTGTCGGATCCCGCATCGCTGCGCTCCGGCTCCCTATTTAGCCTTTTTATTAATATATTACGCGAAAATAGCAGTGAGGTCAGCAGAGCCGATATGATCATCCCGGGACACGGACACCTACCGCTGAACCCAATAAAGAGGCTGTGGCGGCGTTTCGCGTGACCAGCTGCTTCTGCCTGCTCACCTTTATTTTTTTTTCCTGCAAAATGTGTTAAATGTTTTGGGAGCTTCGTATCCGGACAGCGGCCCCTCCATCCAAGTGTCCACCGCAGGTCGCCCTCTTTTTGTGGGAACTTTAATGTGGGAGGCTCGTTTAAGAAAATCTGTTTAACAGGTCTTTTTTTCCCCACATATAACTTGGTAATATGTTTGCCAGGCTGCGGTCCTTAGAATGACAGAGGGAGCGTCAGGTCCGGACCCTATGCGGAGCATAAACGCTTTAAAATAACCCGCAGGACATTTGCCCCCCCCCCCCTTCAACTCGGCTAACCGTCTCATTTTATTTCGTATTATAGGACTGCGGGGGAGGGGGATATTTAAGTGTTTACTTCTGCCGGAGTAACCTCGAGCTCTTCAGAAAATAGTTTTTATAATAGTTAGCCTACCGACTGCTATAAGTACATTTATTTATAAGTATAAATATTATAATTGTATTCTCCGTGTTTAGGGCAAACGGTTACGAGATGCATGGATAAATGTGTTGGCCTATTAATTACTTGAAAAACGAAATTAAATAAATTTCCGTACGCAGAAATACTAAAGAGCTGGCGAACAAAAAAAAGATGCTAATAACGCAAAAACAGCGAAATATATATGGCTGGTGGCTGAAATTCCAAAGATCCGTTTATTTACACTTGGATATGCGGCAGTTTGCGTATTAAAGTCCGACAGCGGTTCCGACAGATTGTAGCGTGAGAGTGACGAGGGGAGCCGCCGGCGCCCACAACCTGGACGCGGTTAAGGCACCGCATAATGAGCTGCTACGCTGGAGAAAAGGCTCTGAAAAGTGACATCTCCGGAAAAGTACCTTAGAATACATTTTCAGACCTAAAAACTGACATCAGACCGTCATCTAATCAAGTAAAATTACTATAAAACAGAACGAAGTTTAGGTTAAGAGAAGTCCTCGCTCGAACAGAGGTGTTAAACAGCGAGCCGCTTCACAGTCGCATTTTTAACTTCAAGCACTTTCTTTGTACAATTAACTGTATTCTTCTGAACATACTGAGTCCTCCTTGCCAGGTCAAATGCATTAATCATGCCTGAGCTGTTTCCCTTTGAAATCGCAGGCTTGGTCATTACTTGAAACTAGTCCTGGACTCAGCCGGGCAACAAGGAAATGCTTTGAATGTCGTTTGTTCATCCAGACAGACTAATGACCGTTTTTTTCTCCTCTTTGGTGGATATAATTTGAACAAATGTATTGTGAGATATAAGGTCCCAAGGATGCTCTGGCTCTCTGAAGAAGCTGATTAAAATAATTGCTTTTCTTTGGTGCGGGCTGGTGGGAGCGGGCTGGTGCGGGGTGGTGGGAGCGGGCTGGTGCGGGGTGGCTTTGCCCCTCGCCGAAGGCTTGATGAATGCCTGTGGCAGGTAGCTGAGAGCTTGCGAAATATTTACCCTTTACCTTTTTTTTTTTTAAATTGAATTTATTAAAGACTTGCTGATTATTACGTTCTGCTGATATCAAAAGTGTAGGATTTACTTATGCGCACAGAGTAAATCGAAGGTAGGTGTACGACTGAATAGTCATTATTTTCCCAAAATGTTTATGAAATAATAAAATTATTGTTGTATTAAATTCAAATTTCCCGCTATTACAGCGTTTTAGAAATTCGGAAAATAGCAAATTCATTGAAATGGGAGGCGAAAGAGCACTAACATCTAATCGTTACGCAAACACTGAATCCTCCGCCCTGCACTCTAAAGCCGCCTTGTAAACATCAGGAAGTTAGAGATGCTTTTGTAAACAAGTAACATTCTCATAGCCTCTCTCTCTCTCTCTCTCTCTCTCTCTCTCTCTGTGCCCTCGTCACAGTCCGAGTCTTTGTCACGTTTGCAGCTTCTACCTTAAAGAAGATTTAAATTTGTCTTGTAAATTTTTTAAATGAATGTTATATTGCATAAGCCTGTTCTTTTTAGCTGTTAATGTCTGATAATTATATTTTGGCCCCAGTCACACACACGCACTCTCTCCCGCTTCCTGCGGTCCCTGACTGCTGGCTTGACCAGGTCACGGTGACCACACTCGTGGTCCTGCCATCTGAAAATCCCCCCGACCGCAGTCACTCACATTCTTACCATTTAAGGCCTGGTTCCCTCAAGAAGACCTTTTACACTGTTCACCATTTTTTCCATTTAATCATGTAAGGTTCTTGCTTATTAAAGTGTGTATGTGT